GGCTCGGCAACTTCGTTCAGAACGCCTCCGAGACTTGGTTTACCGCACAGAAAAGGAGGACGTCGCGGATGAAGCGTTTAAGGGTATCGGTTAGGAGGTTTGCCCAGTTTGTAATATTGGTAAAAAAGGAAGATAAGAGGATCCCAAAATAGACCTTATTATTCCTCAGAGTAACTTATAGTCACTATTGCTGGATGGGGGGATCCACCTACGTTTTAGGGTTAAAGGCTTAAGGGTTTAATGTTGTTGGGGTTGAAGGAGTGAAGGGGCTTAGGGTGGAAGAGTTAAGGATGTGGACTTTAGGTCTAGGTGTGTTGTGCTCAAGACCTCCTAGCAAGTACTGCGCACCCTAAGTGTGAGGTAAACTTCAGTGTAGATTTGTCCTAAGATGAGTTTGGCAGTTGTACAACATCATTGGGTATGGTTGTGTTCCTTTTGGGCAGGAATTGTGCACGTGTTGGAGGGGGTCACATAGACATTGCGCAGCGTGTCCTTGTAGATTTTCAGGTCTAGGTAGCCTAGGCTAGGGTTCTGGGTCAAGGCTTTCGTGGGTTCCAGGTGACTCTAGTTTGGTTTATTGATAGCGCTAGTGTTTCGTAATATGCGACCCCAACATAGACCCCAAAATACTGAGAGCCTTAAAAAGGATCCCTGATGCTTGTTGGGAAACTGCCATATACCTACCTAGAGTTTGCGGTTTAAAGGTTTAGGGTTTGAGGTTTAAAGTTTAGGGTTTAGGGCGTAGGGTTCCCCACAGCACGGTCGTTGTGGCCTGCATATGAATATTTCCAAAAACTGGCGGTATGCTTGGTAGACCTGAGCATATTATGCCGATGTTTTAGGTGCCTGAACCGTAAACCCTAAACCCTAATAGGATCCCCCAATCTTTGAAAGAATCTGACATCTGCTGTGCATTTTTCCTTGGCATCTGTATCCTTCTGATTGCAACCCTAAACCCTAAACGGTCTGGTACCCCAGCAGTACCCTTTTCCCGTTGTATTTTGGGGTCTCCTTATTAAAGCTACCCTACATCCTACTCCCTAAAAGGGTACTCGTATTATTAACGGGTTACTGGGGAGCCTGACTGCAAGCTGCGTGCTGGGTCAGTTGTACTCCCGACGAGATTCAGTGAGCCAACTTTGCCGGACCTCTAGCAATTTCTAGGGTTTAGGGGTCTAGGGGCTTGGGGTTCAGGGCTTCTTGAGATCCAGTGGCCCGGCACCGGTGTACTCCCTGAGGGAGTAGGCTGAAAGATCTTCCTTGACAATAGCTACATATTGGCAGTATGATGTTCATTATAACGGCCTTGGCAGAAGTGATGTATAAGAAAGCCCCCATACTTCTTTACTGTTCGATACGTTCTTCTTAACTATAGTAGATGGTACGCCTCAACTTAGGGAGTACTATTAACATGGTACAGGCCCGACCCTAAACCCTAAACCCCAAGCTCCAAACCCCAAACTCTAAACCCTAAACCCTAAACCCCGACCCTACACCCTTGACCTACAATTATAGTAGTTTCCATTTTCTTTTCCATTACCCCAATATAACCCTAATATATACCCTATAATCACTATATCATAACCCCTATATAATCCCTAGAATCCCTATAGTTTCCGTTTTCTTTTCCATTATCCCAATATAGCACCTGCAGGACCCAAAGAAGAATCAGCCGGGGCACCTGGCCGGCTTTGTCTCGCGTATGGGCTTCGCAAATTGCAGGGTTTAGGGTTTAGGGCTGAGCTATAGCCTGAACTGCTGACAGCGGGGTTACTTCGGGGACTATTATTGGGGTGATGATTAAGGGGGATATTGGGAATTTTGACTATAGTTCATGTAGGCTTTTTTTAGGGGGGTTGCAGTGGTAGCCCATTTGCGTGCATGGTTTACACACTTCGAGGTAACATTAGAACCGACCAGAGCAGCTTTCATGTGCTTGGCTAGGTGAGAGTTTGTGAGCTATAGTCAACAGGGTCTAGGGTTTAAGGTTGCTAACCCCTGTACAACTCCCACCAACCCCTGAAATACTCCGCCATACAACCATGTTGGAGTTCAACAAACGTATGACACCCACTCTCCGGGCAGGGAACATGTGCCACACACTTACATACGGTACTCACCATTTCTCAGTACTGCCTGCGATCATCTGAAACATCTTGGTTTTTGGTTTGCCCCATACACTTCAATCCAAGATGCGGTTTGACCTCCAATCCAGCATCCCATTTCCATAGGAACGTGTGAAATCTTCAATATGCCAAAACAAGCCTCAACATTCGCAGGAAGAGACCACCCATGTGCTCTTACGGTTTGCAACTGGTGCATGGGTTCCGCACAGAGAGTACTGGATTGGTCAGCAGAACATGGCCGCTAAGGCGTTCAGCTTCGGTTGAGCTCACCTACGTCGGGCCCTTGGTGATTGTTGGACAGCAGTTTCCAAAACATGCCGTGCGCTGCCGTTGTACCAGTCCTTTGCATGATCATACCCGCACTGAGAAGCTTCGATGAGGTCGACGACGCCGTGGAAGGCGATCAGACGTTGGTGTTCCGCCAATGGCCTAGACTGCTCGGGCTCTTGTCCAAAACCGTGTTCGTAGCGGGTCCTCACATATGAGGATCTTTCTTGCAGGTAGCCGCATGTGCAGTACTGTTGGTTTTGTGTCCATGGTCCAGCGGCGAGTTTCCTTTGACAAGCCACTGACCCTCCCAAAGTCAGGAAGAAGGTTTGATCAATGACAAAATCGAAGGTTATAAGGGTCACTCGGTGTCAGTGGGGAAAGGGAAGGGATCCCCAAACATAAGCAGAGTAACCTGTAACAAGAAGAACCATTGGCAGGTCCTTGGTACCAGGGATTTGAAGGGGTCTCAAGGCCAGGTAGGATTTCACTTGGTCATGCATAGCAGCGAGCTCATGTAGCCCCTTTTGCAAGGACTGCAGTATCAAAGAAGGTTTGCTTTTGGGCTTCTATGTTCGTTTGAGCAAGGGCATGGATTTCGTCACTTGACGCATGCCGGCTGTAGCAGAGATAGGATTGCAGAAGTTGAGTCAGCGACAGCTCAAACCATCACGCTGGCAAGTTGAACATGGAAAGATCAGGCAGGCCCAGTTAAAGTTTATGTTGTAGCGCCAGCAAATTGGTTGTGAGAGGATGGGCTTCTAGCCCTAACTCACAAACCAAAAAATCGAAAGCCCCAACCTTCAGACACCCACCCACCAAAAAACAAAATCAACAAACAACAAAAGAACCACACACACAGAGAGAGACACACAGAAGCCACCACCCGAAACCACGCTAAGCCCAAATCCCAACTCCCAAGCCGCGGCCGTGGCCTTCTTCGAGGTCGCCTCATTACCCGCTCTGGCGAAGCCAAGTTCCAGGCTACGGGGCTTCTGTGGTTCCACTTAAGGAGAGTTCTCTAGGGTCTAGGGTTTAGGATTTAGGGTTTCGGGTCTAGGGTTTAGGATTTAGGGTCTAGGATTTAGGGTTTAGGATTTAGGGTTTAGGTTTTTATGGTTCAGGTTTTACGGTTTAGGAGTAGGGTTTGGTGCGTAGGAATCCAAAGTCCTCAAAGGGGGTTATATGGGGAATTATCTAGGAGAGTATTGTGTACTCATGGATTTCTTTATCCCTCCCGCGCTACCCCCCAAGTTTCCTTCTTAATTGGGGTCAGTATCTAGGGCTAGGTCCAGGTAATCAAAGCCAACAAGGGGAACCTTGTTGGGGCAGTATATGGGGGTGACAGGGTAACCTATTATGTAGGTTCGCATGAGTTATCTGGAAGCTTCGAAAGCGTTCGAGGGTAGGCTGCCAATCGGGCTTACGGGCTTTATTTGTCAAATTTCTGCAGTAGGAGTAGGCAAGCTCAGCCCTGAAAGCTTCGGGCCTCTGACCTCTGACCCCATGCCCTATACCTTAAACTGAATCCTAAACCTAGGGTACTGCCCCCACTCAGTAACAGTTGGATAATAATTTTAATATGGCTATACATAGCCCTTAATAGGACCCCTAATATAGACCGTTACTGGATGGGGGCAGTACCCAACCTAAGCCCAAACCTAAACTGCAACCTGAAGGCTTTTGGGACAGGCCGTGACTTTCGGGAGAGGGGATGCCTTGGCAATTGTCAGATTCTGCTAGGATGATCCACTGCTTTCCAGGCTTCCAGGACCGTCCTCGCAGCCTTAAATATGCGTATATGGATCCTAATAGTGGGTATTCAGGGGATGCAGAGGGTACATGGAGGGTCTAGGTTCAGAGCGTAAAGCTACACTTGCTTTGTCCTGCAATAGGGTTTAGGTGGCACTTTGGGATAGTCCATATTTTGCCCTGTTAGGGGAACTTTTAGGTTTAGGGTTGCGTACACCCATTTGGTGTTCTTCAGGTGAACAACGTGAACATGTCGCAAGCGGACTACCACAAGCGCCTGGAGAACATCAACATCTTGTCGAAGGCCGCAGGGATGAGATGATCTCCTACCGCATAACCAGTACTGTAACTAATCCAATGACCCCAGCAGTATAATACCAACATATATATATATATATATGTATAGAATGGGGGGTCTTGACTATTAGGGGGCAGGAGTTGTGCTGAGGGGGGAGGTGATTACCATTAAGGGTTTAGAGAGAAAAGGGCGTATGGTTTAAGGTACTACGCGCTACCATATTATCCTCTGCTCAAGACTTGGAAGTTCGCGCAACCCCCTCCACATCTTGTTTGGTTTAGGGTTTAGGGTTTGGGGGTCTTGGGGTTGAGGGGTTTAGGATTCTGGGTACTCTTCCAACCTCCACTCCCCGCAGTCCCCTCCAAACATCCCAACAAGTCATTCAACCTTCCAGAGCTGAGAAAATCCTGCAAAAAAGCAACCCTGCACCCTAAAACCTAAATCGTAGAGTCCATTTCCTTTTCCATTGCCTTGTGTACAATGAGATCGTCTCTTATGGGATTGAGAAATCAGGTAAGCCTGAACCCTAAACCCTAGAAGCCTCAACCACGGGTGAGGTTCGCAACTTCCTCGTCTTCCAGGGCGATGTTGAAGCCACGGCTCAGCGCCAGGGGAAGGAGCTCCGAAAGAGGGCTTTAACCCTACTTGTAATTGGGGTAACCCCTATAGGCCCATTTAGGGGAATTATAAGTAGGATTATAAGCCCAGTTATATGTGGTTACTAAGTCCCATGGGCCTCCAAGTAAGGCTTTCGACTCCTGATAAAGCAACGCAAAATGGGATTTCCTGACAGTGTGAAGGTCATGTTCGAGCTTGTGCCCTTGCGAATGGCTTGTTTGCTGTTGGAGAGTCCTTATGAGCCGAGATCAAACCTCCCCAAAAGGAAACGCGAGGGTTAAGTTGCGGTACACAAAGACTTGGCACTCGCCAGCTACCGTAAGTAAAAGCAAGGCACATTTATCCGTGAACCGCCTGTGGCCCCAGGCTTCGCAGAAATTTCGTGTACATTTGCTTAGTGAAAAAAAGCAGGCGCCAACTAAGCGCTGGGTTTCACAAGCTACCAGAAGCAAAATCGCTCCTGTCATACCCAGCAAAGCATGAAGGCGCCAATCGCCGTTCAATTGGGAACTGCAGGTAGGAGAAGCACCCTTAGCAGTAGATTACTAGTCTGCACGAGCCACATTATTTGGATTGTTAAGTAGATTTTATATGAGGAGCTTTGTCCACATGTGCTCCTTTAGACTCTTTGAGCAGTCCACAGCTTGTGGTGAGGAACATTCATGTGTATTTAACAATCCAGTGCAATGCATAGGGTGGAGGGGAGGGCTTGAGCCTCTTTCATGCAGCTTTTGGGCTGTCAGCACGGAAGCTCAGGGAAAATTTTTCTCCATGTCTTCGCCCGTGCTGTGGCGTGGCGCTGTTGTGGAGGCTGACAGCGGGTGGAGCTTTGAGCTGCTGGCGTTGTCTCTGCTGGTGGCCGGCGCAGTGAGCTGCTGGCTTTGGTGCTGCTCTAGCTCTTCATCCGCCAAGACCTGCCGCACCATCAGCTTGCCTTCAGGGGCCAAAGTCAGTCTGAATGTCGACCCCCACGCCCAATGCGTGGGCCCAAATGGACACCTTGTTGAAAGTCTCTGCCTGGGCAGGACTTGTGGGGACCGTGGGCGATCTGGGCAGCGCTGGCAGAGGCGGACTTCGAGAAGCTGCTCACCAACTGGGTGCTGAAGATTCCGGCGGCCAATCCTGCAGATCCAGCTGTAGACAAGGCGCCAACACCCATACAGCTCGGGCAGGCTGGGTTGCTGGGGAAGACGTGCAGAGTCATGTGCAGCACCACTTCAGTGGCAGCAAGTGCCACTGCTGCAAGCTCCAAGAGGAAGATCAAATTGTCGGCTGTAGTGAATCAGGACGACGAGTGCGATGTGGACATCCTTGATGAGGTCACGGTCGCCAACGCCTACGCCAGGTACACAAAAAGGATAGGTGCATTTCCACGCGCTGAAGAGGAGCTGAGTCAAGAACAACTCTCTGGACTTCATGCATTGTTCAAGTCTGGCCGTGCCCCCTATGTGGATATGGCCGTATGGGGACCTTACCATCACAGGCTTGAGAGAAAGAGGAGACTGAGTGGAGTGAGGCTCAACCAGTACGGGGAGATCCAAACTGTGGAGCTGACCGGACCATCCGATTTCGAGGCCTGGCGCGAGCGCTATGCCGTCTTCAAGGTCGGTGCCATCATGTTCGATGAGATTTCGCCTGCTCGCTTGGATGCATACGAAAAGCATGTGCGCAACTACCATGAAAGATACGGTAGGTCCTGCTGGGCGCTCATCTACCAGGCGGACGTTCGAGCCAGACTTGAGAACTCCGAGCGGCTTCGCAGAGTGGGCAAAGATGAGCATGACAAGGCCAAGAAAGCTGGTGGAACCCACGACTTCGACACCAATTCTCCTTGGGAATGGGTGTGGAATGCCTTGATCGAGGACCTCCGCTTTTGGCATTCGGAGTTGGAAGAGCCCGCTCTACTTGTCTTGGCCAAATCGACCAAGATGGAGAAGCAGTTGGGAGACGATGCTCCCGTAGACGCACCGAAGCCAACACCTTCGGACAATCGACCTGGACCCGGCGGCGGTGGCAACAAGCGCAAACAACAAGCCTTCAGAGAGCACAGGCTTGGAGATGATGGATTCTTGACTCATAACCGTCGAGGCGCTGCGCTCTGTGGTGCCTTTCAGGTGGGCAAGTGCCTTGAACGTGACCGCTGGGGAAATTGTTCGAAGGACGGCCAGTCAAAGCATCAATGCTCGAAGTCGGAAGACCACGGTTCCGCTGTTTGTCCGTCTTCTGGTCCCAAGGCCCCTCGCACTTTCAAAGGAAAGGGGGGCGGCGGAGGAGGAAAGAAGGGGGGCAAGGCCAAGCGGAACTGACTCGAGGGCCCGAAAGAGGGCCCAGACATTGCGGAGCCAATGACTCGTTTGGCACCTCCTTGCCAGACGATGACAGCTGCCGCGCCTGTGACTTTGGATGCCAGTGTGGAAGGCACGAAATCCGTGCCGTCTAAGGTGGACCTTGGCTCGCCTTCCACATCGGAGCGGAGACGGAAGAAGATCCTTCACATGTTCAGCGGGCCCTCCCCAGAGCTTCCAATATTGCTTA